GCAAACACAGTATGTTGCATCTGACGTCACGTCCTCTTCTGCGCATGCGGGTCACCTCAGGGCCGTATACCGTTCACACATGAGACAGATGGCAGTCGCATTTAAATGACAGTGTGAACAACAGCGCGAAAAAATCCGATCTGAGCATTAAGACCTCCAGTGTGAATGTAGTCTAAAACTGATTTGCTGTGACTCCCACGGGAGATGTTAATATCAAGCAGCAATTCACAACTTTATCTCACACAAACTGGAGTCAGGAAATGAAGTTCTTTGTTGTACTGTATACCCCTCTGAAAATCTGTTGGCATTCTCTCTAGCCCTAGTGCAATCTCTGTGCCATCCCCTCCTTCCGCCCACCCACTCTCTATTCCCTAATACCTGCCCAAACTGTACCACTAACCCCCGCACTCCCCTTGTTATAGATTGTGACCGCCGGTAAGTGATGCATTATTCATTACCAGCATGTCGTTTGTTGATGGATGGCTGTTTGAGAGCCCTGTCTGTTAAATAAATCAACAAATAAAAATGCAAATTCTCACATTTCGAGAGAAGGAAGCCAGCCAAAGTCCCTCCCCCATGTTCCTTTTCTGCCTCCCTCTCTATCCACATAGCTGCACTTGCTTCCAGTCTCTCTTACGAGCAGACACATACACTCTTGCTTATGCTCTCACCCTCTTTCTTTTTGGCTGTTGACAGGCAGGAGACCAAATTAGGAAGACAGATTTACTTATTTGAGTGCAGTCCCCCCCCCCCATTGGTTATCATCCCTCAGCTGACTTAACTCATATTCACATTTTCTCCCTCACACTCAAACATGTGCATACATTAGTTCATATTGCTAAAGCAAAATATAGCTTTTTGGCAGCTGATATGCACTGCTTGCCTCACATCAGTGTGAAAAAAAAAAAACATATCAAGGTCTATAGTTGTTTGTGGAGGAACACAAATGCCCCCTGATTGGAAGTTCCACTAGTGTCTGTCTACTGACCACCCACGTGCACAACAAGTACATGCCTAAGATCACCCTTACCTGGGAGAGCTGTGTGCAGAGCTGTGCATTGCAAATCGATGGAGCTTTAAATGAGCAGAGAATTATGTTGGCAACATCAGTGGAGTGTGCTTTAAAGAATTCATGTTTTGTATCTGGAATGGCTGTCCGACTGTGTATACACTGAATAATTTATCAAGCCAGTCAGACTGAGGGATTGAATCTCTATTAGCTTAATCTCCCCCCGTTTTGGTTTATTTATTTCACTGCACATTCCTTCATTTCTATTCCATGGGAGAAGGCATCGGGTTCTCTCCCTCTTTTCTTTTGCACCTGCAAGAATCTTTTTTTCTGCCAGGACGCCCTAGTGGTTTTGACTTGTTAACTGCTTTTTAACCGGCACTTCAGCAAGTGAAAATTTGTTATTCATTTAAACAAGAGATTTGCTTTCATATTGTCTTTAACAGGTGAAAGATAAATGACACATATTTTAGTACAAGCATGAAGCTCCAAGTAGACTTCAGCCTTGTGGATGTCCAGTATTGGTCCCTTGGCTTACGGCATCTCTGCTTAACTTTAAGGGCACGTAGTCTTGGCAGTCATAATGTGCATTTCTCTATTTCAGTGAAACAGTGCAAGGACACTCAATTTCAATATTACCTGTCTATAGGACTCTACTGGGTTCTGTATTATAAATGTAGCCTATGCCAATTCAACCTTTGAAATGAACTGAGGTCACATGTGGAAAAATGAAACTAAATTGAATCAATCAACAACAGTCCTTCCAAAGTTTTGCTTATGTTTTTTTTCAGGTTGGACTTTTCTTTGGTTGAATTATTGGATATCTTTAGTCCTGTCTCTCTGCCTGAGCAAAGCAAGCTGTCCTCTCACAGGACCAAAACAACACACCGTAAGCAGGTGCTCACTTCCCCCAAGCCAGTGGGTAGAACCTTGCTTACTCGTGCTAGGCCTTATCTTCAAGGTACTGATCAAGACGTGGAGGAAAGCCAAATACTGGAGGATATTTTCTTCATTTGCTGACAAAGAATAAAACAAGGAGCAGATGAAAAAGAGAACTGGCTTCACTTGATATTCATGTGTTCAGTTTTTACTTTTTAAAAATGTCTTTAATTTTCTAGTGACATTCTAAATCGGAATGATCATGATATTGTAGATTGTAGATTTGTTATACTGTGATTTTTAACACAAATAAACCATTATTTATTCAGCAATGGTTATGCTTCTAGTTTGTACCTGTTATTTTGCCACTGCAGGAAAACTGTTGACCACTGAGGTATGCTGATTGCACCCTGAAGAACCTGACGGCATCAAGGACCTCAGGACACACAATTGTACATTGTAAATTTGGCTATTATCCATAAATTATATAATTTTAGCTCTCGATCATGAGTATATAGTCTGTTGTTCCAAGGCCTATTCTTGCTACAGCCATCTGACTGTTATGACAGACATCACTTTGAAATAGGGAACAGTTGTGGTAGTTGTGTCACAGTAAAACACAACAAAATGTGGGTGATCTCATATTGATAAGTTATATCAGTAATCATGACGCGACACAGTACAATTTATTCTAGACTGTGCTTTATTATTGGGCTAAGCTGAGACGCATCATTCATTTAAAATTACAAAAAAAGAGTCCAGGGGACCAGAGAATGGTGCAGTCTGGGGAGATGGGGGGTGGGAGCCTAAAGCGCACTGCCCAATCAGAAGCTCAGCTCATCAGAAACCTGGCAAAGCTGAATATGCAACATTCATTTCCCCACTCTCCATATGTGCTGAAATTGGGAAATAGATTTCCAGAATATTTTGAAAACCATAAGAAGTAAAATGTGACTCTAGCAACACTACTGAACTTTAGATATAAAATCACTGATAACAGCACTGAAAATAAAAGTGATTGTAACTCAATTTCTTTTTTCTTTTCTTTTCTTTATGAGATAGTGCATTTTTCATTGAATTTTGCTCTTGGTAGAACACATCAGTTGAACAAGATCAGAGCTCTGTCAAAACCATGCAAAGCAGGATGGCAAAATAGGAGCAGGAGAATGAAGTTTAAAAAAAAAAAACTGAGCTTTTATGCAGGCAGTTAATCAGGGATTAGCTCATAACAAACTAGCAACTTAGTGATATCAAGGAATATCTTCTGCTGTGAATATATATCTCACTGAATAGCTGGTTTAAGAGGGAGGATAGGAATTCTTTTCCCTTTGTTAAAATGTGATGGAATGGAGGCAAATGATATACAAAACCAAGGAGTAATCCAATTGTGTGTGTGTTTTTTTTTTAAACAATTTTTAGACATTAACCATTATGGAATATGAAATAATAATTACAAATGTACATTTGGCATTGTACTGCATTATTTTGAGTAGTTTATCAGCAACAGGAAAGTGTAAAATCAGTCTTTAAAGTTGTTGTATTTAGCATTCGCCAGTACTTAAAGTGGCAATATGTGATGAAGTGATACAAAGTATCACTTACAAGTAAACAGATCAGTGGCCATAATAGAGCTCAGATCTTGAATCAAACAGCACAAATAAATAAATTCATAAACACAAATACATAAATAAATAAATTAACATAAATAAAGGATGAAAATCTGTCTTTGACATCACTTGGTCAATAGGAGCATTATTCTCCGTCATCAAGGAAGTGCTAAAGGCATGGTCCTGCAGACAGGAACAATGATCATCTGTGGGCCACAGCAGTGGCCTCTGCGTGTCATATAAAACTATTTGGTCACGTACCAACTCATAGAAAAATAATGCCATGAAAGCATGCATATCATCTCAGGTATGACATATAAATAAATATCTAAACAAATAGATAAATGAATAGAACTCATAAAAGTAAATTTTTTTAATAAAATAGGTCGATGTGTGTCTAAGCTCTGAGGTCAATGCTCTCCCTGACTGTTTTCTGGATAAATGCCTTGGTCAGGTCTTACTGTTGTACCATATCCTAGCGACACTGTTTTTTTAGTACCTGGTGTTAATGAGCATCATCATGTTTTCATTCATATATTTTTTTTAAGTATTTAAAGTACTGTATCCAGTCCTTGTAGATAGAAGTAAAAGTCCTATAAAATATGCAAACCTATGTACAGAGGAAAACGGAGCAAAAAAAGAAACAATTTACATTTTATTCATTA